TTGGGGGGGGGGGGGGGTTGGGGAAATTATTTGAGAAAGGGAAAGGTGAGTTTTAGTTTAGAGGGTTTTTTTAATTTCAATGAAACTTTATACTTTAGTCTTTTACGTTTTAATCTTTAAGAATTCATTGTTTTTTCATAATGAAAATCGTTGAGGCTGGAATTTTCAGGCTAAATTTAGAATAGTGGTTTAGATCAACTATACATTTAAAATATTGAACGTCCTGATATTATGGATGCAAACTAAGCTATTCTCGAGAACCATGCTAGGCCATCTCTTTATGCTTCATAGCCCTAACTTTGGACTCTGACCAAATGTGATCGGACACATCATCATCTTAAACGCTCTCTTATTTCAAGAGCCTCCAACATATACCCTTTTTAGTAACAACTAATAAAGATTGAAAAAAGTTATTTGCAAAGACATGATCTACTGTTCGCCTAGACATGAAATTATTATTCATTTAGACTCAAAATTATTGTTCACCTTCTTCTGATTGGTCAATGATCTGCAGCTGGCCCCGCTTGCCTTTTCTTATTGGCTGCCCATTTGTCTGTGGCCCTTGCGGTTTTGGCTGCCGTTTTTTCTCTGAGTGTCGCATACTCGCGTTGCCCTCAGCTGCGCCCTAATTTCCTCTTCGCTATTTCCTTTCTCTATTTCCTTTTATTGCGTTTCTCGGCTATTCCCCGTGAGTCTTTCTCATAATTATTACATCTACTATTTTTTCTCTCTTGCCTTGTGTGTTGGTGTTTGGCTTTCGGAATCCGTGGCAATGATGGGCGCGGTTTCCTGTGCGCGGCCACTCTCGTTTGGGTCTTGGGGAGAGCGTCCCTGTTTGGTACTGCCTAGATATCTGAAACCCGCCGCTTTTGCGTGTACAATTTCCCCCCCACTTTTTGTGCTCTTTATTTCTGGCGGTTCTTCTATTTGACATCGTCCTTATCTCTTCGGCGAAGCACTGTTTCAGTTCCCTTACGTTTCTGTTCGCGATGGGCCGATAACTGACACGAGCCGCACTTGCGCCTGCTAATTCCTTCTCTCATTTATATGTTCTTTTTTTTAATGCCAACAGTTCATCACTCCGTTCTGTTCTCTTCCCGTCATTCTGCTCTCTTTCTAAGCGTTGTTTTCTCTCTCTTTAGTGCTCTTCGTCTCGGAGAACATGGAATTCACGTTGCTTTGCAACCTCGGCGGCCCGCGCAATGCTAGCATTTCTTTGCGTCTCCAGTTGCTGCATGTGTGGCCGGCGAAGTCTCCAGGGGATATCAGGATCTACAATTACTGTACTCTTTGGACCGACGAAACGGTGCGCCCTCCGTGCCTTTGCGTCGATATTTTTGTGCTTCGTTTTGTTGTTGTCGCTGTCTTTTGTTTTTTTTTTTTTGAACCATTGTGGTGTGTTTTGCGCAGGGTACGCTGATTCATGGCGTTTCGCCGACTTCAATGGTTGTTGGGATCCGTCGTAACCTTTCTATTGGGAAGATTTATGTCATAAAGTCCTTTGCCTTGAGCAACCCGCCGAATCAGTATCGCCCATGTTCCTTTGATTTGGCTTTGGGTCTTTCACCTTCGACTTCTTTTCAGGCCTGTGGTCTTCCTGCTGAGAGTTTTCCGGTTGATGCGTATGAGTTTGTGTCTTTCTCCCAGTTGAGTATGCGTGCTGGTAATCACCGTTTCTTGACAGGTCAGTGGATATATTTGTACTAGCTTCTTATTGATTTGCATGTGTATGTGTATGTGTAAGTTTTTTTGTTTGTGCCTTGATGTTTTGCCTCCATTTTATTTTCGTAGATGTCGTTGGCCGACTCCATTCAATCAGTGGGATATCGCATAAAATCACTAATAACGGCCCCGCAATCAAGCAGACGGTTATCATCGAGGATGAAAGGTTTTCCCGCTTTTCTAGGGTTCTTGAGTTTAGCCGTGTGCGTTATGTCTCTTTTGTGTCGTCCCTCACGTATCCCCGTGTTTTTCCTCCCAGTGGGGCGAAGGTTACTATTACACTCTAAGATGAGTTTTCTGCGGTGTTGGACCATGTTGCTCTCACTCAGGCTGACTCGATTGAAGCTGTGATTCTCGCATTCGCCGGCTGCTGGTTAATAAGTTGGGAGGTGTGTTTTTCCCTAGACTGCATGTATCTTTATCGGGGTTATGCGAGAAATATTGATGTGTGATGATTTTTCCCTGTCTTTTGTTTTCCGTTTCAGATGATTATATTCTCTCGAGTTCAGCTGGTACACGCATAGCAGTCAACCCTCCTGTACCAGAGGCCTATTATCTTGTTCTAATTAAGAGTCGGATCGTGAGAACAATAAACCCAAATTCCACACAAAGGCCACAACTCATGTTGTTACTACAATGTCATTCACCTTGTTTGAATTGGGTTACCACTTACCAAAACCTTCAAATTTTCCTTCCTCAAGGAAAAAGTTGAAAGTTACAATTGCCATTCATTTAGTTTCAATATATAATGCTGTTTTCAGAGAAAATTTTCATTTTTAAACTTCGAGTATGATGAATTCAATTAATTGATATTGTAGAATACAAGAAGACATTTTCTCCAATGATGATTAACTATGTGTATCAGCTGATTAATCCGAGGACAAAACTGATAGATGACAAGTCTACAAAACATCTCCCCGTCAAGAAAAACCCACAAAAAATAAATTTAATTCTAAATCTCAAATAAAATAAATAACATGATAGCCAATAGTGACAACCCAAACAGATGGTGACCTAAAACTATAATTATTATTATACCTCAAATAATTTTTCCCAGATCAACCGAAAAAGCTATATTTTGGAGGTTTCTGCTGAAAAAGTCTGCACCTCATTTTTAACGATTAGGAAGGATCGTCATTACAATAAAAATATCTCATCCAATACCTTAGTGACCACGCAACTACCTCTCTCCATGGCCTGAAAATAAGTAATTATTATTACTGCCAACAAATCAAATAGATAGGGAAGACAGCAACTTTTTTTCTGTTTATAATTTATGGTGAAGTCTCTATCGAGAAAAATAATTATGGACTTGATTTCTTGCTAGCTAATTATAAATCGATATTGACTTTTAAGTTTGACTCATTCATCCTAGCTAGCTAGCAAAGATGATAAAAAAAAACTAACAAACTAAATACCTATATAACTAATTTATTCCTAACCTAGTCAAACAGGCAGCTGCTAAGTGCTAACTCCTAAATAATACAATTACTATAATCACCTCGCTTATTAAAAGAGTTATGCCTCACCGAATTGGAAACATTTTTATTTTTACTTTTATTAGCACAGCAACAAGTATTTTCATGGAGAAAATAATTGATGGGTTGGTTAATGTACGATTTCCCAACTGAAATGTCAAAGTCCTGCGCTACATTACAAAAAGATATTTTGCAAATGAAAGTGATGAGATGAATTGGTTCCTATAGGCAAACCTAAAGTTAGGGAGTGTACTCAAAATCAAACCTACCTACCATTCTTCACAAAAAGGATGAACTTATGCATATGGTTGGGAAAAATTTGAAGGAGACGGGTGAAAGAGAATCTATGTCGCTCAATGAATTTAACAATTTTGGCTTGCGGTGGAGAGTTGGTAATTTGATTAACAATCGGGGATATGAATTGTGTGTGTTCTGAGTTTGATTTTCACTATCTATCATTTCGAGTGCTCCCGAGAAACAGTTTTTTTTTATTCTCGAACAACGAAATATTATATTTCGATGATGGTAATAGAATGTGCGCCAAACTATGACATCAATCAGCACCAGTGGTCTAGTGGTAGAATAGTACCCTGCCACGGTACAGACCCGGGTTCGATTCCCGGCTGGTGCATTTATCTTTTTTCTTCTCCATACATCACCTTTTGGCTCAGTTAAATTGTAGGCAGCCAGACTCTTTACCAGAAAGAGACTCTTCCAAAATTTTTTTTTTTTTTTGCCTTTCTCTTTCAATATGGTTGACAGGTGCAGCACGAGTAAATGAGAAGAATGCCCCAAAAGACAGGTAGAGAGAGAGAAGCATTTAAAACGAAAAGGGTAAAGCTAGAGTTTGGTGCAGCTGCTGCTGCTGGATTCACTAATGTTCATCAGTATAATAAGGGAGCCTGAAACTGACAGTTCCTTGCGCCATCACAACACTCTTCTTCTTCTTCTTCTCCTTCTTCTTATCTTCTTCATATATCTCTATCTTCATTTAAGAGGCCGGTGCCTAATATGTACATTGTTGTTCGCAGTGGCGAAGCCAACGAGGGGGACTGATTTGAATTGTCGTAATTGGAGAAGAGGGGCTAAAGCTCCCCATGCTACTGACTTATGTGAACCCATTCGATCTCTTCCTTTTTTTTCTCCAAATTGGAGCGCGTATAATACCGACGCCATCGAATCGTATCATAATGCGATCTGGATTCATTTCGTAACATTAATTAAAAAGAAGTTCGAATACATTAAATTTCTTGGAGAAAATTCGTGACTTTCTCTAGTTCTGACCTTATATTATCGTATACAATATGTAACGTTATCGCTTTTCAAACCGGGTTGAGAAGAGACAAACAAGCATACTTGGCTAGACTATTGGGGGGGCCAGCCGACAAGTTGGAAGTGGTACCATCTTTTGGTCACACTCGCACACAGTCCCAATTTGGTCACGTATCTAATCCAGAGTGTCTAGAGGACGGGTCCGACGAACCCGACCCGACTCGAAAAAAGTCAAACAGCAGCGGCTGCGCGCTGTGCATGCATATGCTTCTAGTTCTACTGTGTTCAGACTTTGATCCCACTCTACAGAACTTGAAATGACCGCCGACGTCGACTCCGACGAGACAAAATTATAAAGACTGCTTAGAAATGAGATGTCACTATACACAAGTCTGCTACGTAATCAGATTTTTGCGCGTATTGTATATATTCAGGAGCTTTCTTGGACCAAAATGTACGTAGAATTTTCCCACTATACAAACCAGCAGCTGTATATTCTACTCTCTCTCTCTCTCTCTCTCTCTCTACTCTGTGGTAGACTGGCCTGTGCTAATGGCAACTTTCTCACTCCTATGACCATCATGTTTGACAAAGCTTGCAAGAGAGTTGATGGGAATGAAGAGAGGTGTCTAGTTTAGCTGCTTACACTGACGGGAACAACACCAACCAGCCTTTCCATCGTTTGCAATTGATCGTATGGAGCAATCTGGTCAAAATTATGAACAAAAGAAAGGAGAGTAGGTAATGTAATTCAATTCATTGGGTAGACTTTTGAGCTCTTTTGGATGATGAATGAGACGTGCATGGAAAAATCACCGAAAGTAATTGGCTGGCACTTAGTGGTTGGTGACAGCATGCCATGGAGTGCTATCATTATTGAACAGATGGAGAAAAGGTAGAAAAGTTACCTGGCTGAATCCATCGGGCCATGTTATTTGGACTGCATAGTTTCCCATTGGCCGAATGTCTTCCGGTTCGACATCTTCTGGGACATCATTGTATTGCAGCTTCTGCTCCCCAGTCCATTCGTCCTATTTCGAACGAAAGGAAAAGAAATCAGCTATCAACTGGCAAAATATTTGTAATCCATCTTTCTTCAGTCATCAACTCTCAGAGAGGAGATCGTCAGGCACATACCACGCTTTGTGCAGAACGATCGTTTCGCCTTACTGTTGCAGGATGAAGGAGAAACTCCTCGTCTGAATCAGGCACCTTCACTTTGATTGCGTTTATTGATTTATCATAAGTGACAGCAGTTGAAACTACAGTGGAGAGAGCAGAGGTCAGACAATTATGATATACCGAGTGCATCGGAAGGCTGCCAATCAAGACAAGAAGCTGGATACATACCCTGTTGGCGTATTTTAGCACATTGTTGCACGAGGCAAACTCCAAGTTCCTGGAACGTCTTTGCAACTTCACCTAGAGGATCAGCAACCACTTCAGGAACTCCACTGTCTCCTGAAGCTGATAGCTAACCAACCATGAAACAGGGACTTCATGTTACTTTATGCATTTATACCAGGTATTCGATCTTAGGAATTCTCAAGATGGAGTGAAAATATTTGAATCGAATTAACTGCGAGACAACTTAGTCAATGGACTTACAGTTGGCCTGATCGGAAGATCAAACAGATGAGGGATCCCAAATTGCTGAACAACCTGTGAAATTTGACATGAACCAGCAGTAATATATTAAATTGAGGTCTGAACCTTAAACTGGGAAGCATAGAATTGTTTGATAAGTATACATGCCTGAGAGCCTGATCCTCTGCCAAAGGGGTAATACCGTTCTCCATCAGCATCGAAGTGGCACATGTTCTCCACAACAGCAACGCATGGCACCTATATATGCTTAAAAGGAAAACATGAAGACATAAACATAACAGTCAATAAAAATAATATGGGCAACATTCAGTATCCATCATTAGCTTCCCTTTAACAGAAATATCAAACAGTTTGAAAATGACCATATTTGGAACCATGGTGAGAATGGAGGGATACATACCTTAAGCTTTGAAAACATCCGAACTCCTTTAGCAACATCGATGAACGCAAGCTTCTGAGGGGTGGTCACAATGACAGCAGCAGTCAATGGGACAACCTGGCATAAAGTAAGCTGTATATCACCAGTTCCCGGTGGCATGTCAATGATAAGGTAATCCAGCTCTCCCCTGCATTCAAGATTCCAGAATAAATTGCAAAATAAAAAAACTGAGTTCATAATGTTCTGCTAGGAGATGGAAATTATGGTCACAAGCCCATAGTTACTACTTCAGATGGTTTCAACATGTTATTCACTCTACAAACTCACCACTCAGTAGTCGTGAGAAGCTGGTCGATAACTCCCGAAACCATTGGACCCCTCATTATAGCACGACCTTGTCCAGCGAATCCAAAGGAAACCAACTTGACCCCCAAGTATTCAGTAGGTATAATACTTTTCTTCTCTGGATTCTGATAGATAGATTTCACATTCAGTCCGAAATCCACCATTTTCATTTCAATTAACTGAACTGGCTTTTAGTAAACTAGAGGTCTTGACATATTTACCATCTCCAGCAACCGGTTTTCAGGAGAGACCATTGTTGGTAAACTTGGACCATACACATCAGCATCAAATATCCCTACCCTAGCACCCATACCAGCCAAAGTATACGCAAGATTCACAGCAACAGTCGATTTCCCAACACCTCCCTGCACAACTTCTCAGAAACTAAGAATCATGAGTGGCTAATAGCACTAACACAAAAACTACAGTAATGACATTCAACAACCAAACTACCTATGGAAAATGCTAGACCATGGTAATCTAACCTTGCAACTTGAAACTGCAATGATATTCGAAATGGTCTGTAATCCAGGAGGAAGCATCGCCCCGTACATAGGTTTAGCTGGCTGTGCTGACATTGTCACACTAACATTCTTCACCCATGGAAGCCCCGCGACCACCTCATTTGCCTGCTTCTCAAACTGCATTGGCAAAAGTAGAATCTCACACCTCAAATCTCAAACAAATTAACACCGATCAAGGCCATATCTAAAGAACAATGGATCACAACAAAGAAGTTTTAAGGCACTGACCAAGTCCTTGATTGGACATGCCGGGGTAGTGAGCTCCAACCTAAACGAAACCTAGCGGCAACAAAAACCACAAACAATTAAACAAAAATTCCCAGTGTTTGTTTACTCATCTTCCTCAACGAGAGATTAGCAATCAAAATTGCTACTACCTTTCCTTGAGCTTCATCTATCTCTAGGTCTTTGACGAATCCACAAGTCACAATGTCCGTTCCGAAATCAGGATCGATAATCTGAGACAAGGCCTTCAGCACGTCGCTCTCGGCGGATGATCTCGATTCAGCCGATGTCTCGGAAGCACCAACTGAACATTTTCCCCCACACGATTTCCGCCATTAAACATAGTAAAGCGAATTTTCCACATTCCAGAGCTTATGTAGGTCCCAACTTAGAATTTACCTTCAGTAGAAGCAGCTCTCGTTGTAAAGCAGCAGGACGGCTTGTGAGAGCTGCTGCTGCTGCTTCTCAGAGCAGGAAATAGCGATGAGGAAGGATTCGTTACCGATATCTGAAGCCACTTCTCCGGTGAGGAAATTCCTGAAACGCCGAGCACCGCGAATTTTCGAGCTCAGAGAGTAGGGTAACGGAGGAGATACATCGACGGCGGGAAGAAATTCAACGAGTACAAAAGTGAAATTGAACCTGGCTGCTTCGATTGCGGCTTCGAGATTTCAAAGGGGAGATAGCGGGACGATGGAGCTGAGAGAATCTGCATTCTTGGGTAGAGAGTGTGGCGGGAGAGAAGCAACGGGCCTTTCTGAGCCTCATATTTTCTCGCTTGCTAGCTCAAACTGATATAATGCTGCCGATGGAAACGGCGTCGTCGGCTACGGATTGCCTGCCGTTCTTTGCTGACTTGGCAAATCAAGTTGACAAATAGAGACTCGCCTTGTTGGCACTTTGGGGAAAAAGCCGAAAAGATAATTTAGAAAAATAAGAGTAAAGGTCGGCTTAATTGCAAGTTTGGTCACTTGAATTGCTACAAAATTTCACGTTTGCCACTCAAATTAATTTATTCCATTTATAGTCACTCGAATTAGTTGAACAGTTCAAGTTCGGTCACTCTCCGTTAACCTCCGTTAACTTTGACTGACGTGGCGGTCAACTCTGACAGTTGACCGTTAAATGTGTGACGTGGCAAATAAAAAATAATTAAAAAATAAAAATTAAATTTTTAAAAATTACACATCATTATCACAAAAAATTATAATTATAAAAAATAAAAAGAAGAAATTATCACAAATTTCCCCTCCTAGAACCCTCAATCGCCGTCCCGCCATTCATCCACCGCGCCCCGCCGTCGTGATTTCCGCTTCCTCAAAATGTCCAATTGACAATTTCTCCTCGTCTCCTGCAATCACTATGCCCACTATTCAAACACATTGCTATCTCCCCAGTCCCGGCCTCGTCTCCAGGCGCTCTCTACTTCCCGGAGCTCCAACTCCAATTGGGCATGGGTCTTTGGGTTTCGGGTTCTCCGCCCCTTCCCACAGCGTTAAATTCTCCTTCCCGGCAGACTCCTTCGGCAGGAAAAGTAGTTCTTTCGGTTCTGATAAGGGCAGCGCCAACGGACAACGGCGGCGGCGATGTGGGACGGTCAGGGCCGCTGGGAGAGACCACTACTCGACCTTGAACGTCGGCAGGAAGGCCTCATTGCAGGAGATCAAGAGTGCCTACAGGAAGTTGGCTCGTAAGGTGAGTTTGCTGCTTTCTTCTGGGATTGGCATTTTTTTTTTAATTTGCCACTGCTTGAGAACCATTGATGGTTTCTACGATTCGGCTAGGATTTTGCTGTTGCTGTTTATTGCTATTCGTATGGCTGACGCTGGGAGCATCGCCGCTGGACCCCGCCGCGGCCGCGCTGGAACTCTGGACCGAGGATGGAGTAGTCGCAGCAGCAGTAGCGACGGTGATGGTATTGTCATGATTACCACCACCACCAACACCGTTGCTCTTCCCAACAAAGCCGCCACCGCCGCCGCCGCTACTATTTTTCTCCTTTTGGAATGGCTGGAATGCGCCTCCTGATCCGTTTCTCCTCACCTCCTTCACCACCGCTTTTCTCGGCACCTCCTGAAGCGTTGGAGAAATTTGTGATAATTTCTTCTTTTTATTTTTTATAATTATAATTTTTTGTGATAATGATGTGTAATTTCTAAAAATTTAATTTTTATTTTTTAATTATTTTTTATTTGCCACGTCACATATTTAACGGTCAACTGTCAGAGTTGACCGCCACGTCAGTCAAAGTTAACGGAGGTTAACGGAGAGTGACTGAACTTGAACTGTTCAACTAATTCGAGTGACTATAAATGGAATAAATTAATTTGAGTGGCAAACGTGAAATTTTGTAGCAATTCGAGTGACCAAACTTGCAATTAAGCCAGTAAAGGTCGCTTCGGATGTGAAGTAGGCCCCACCTCTCCTTATCCAGGTCATTATTATGCCCTTGTTGTTTACCGGTATTTTTCCTTTTCCTTCTATTTTTTGAGAAGAAGCTCATATCATTGGAAAAAATCCCAAAGTACACTAGTTTTTAAAAAAAATTCCCAAAATACATAAGTTATAAAAAAAATTCCAAAAGTACACATGTTTGGGCATCACCGTGTTTGACAAAAGCGGTGAAGTTTATCACCGCCTTTGTCAAAGACGGTGAAGTTTATCACCGCCTTTGTCAAAGACGGTGAATACTTCACCGTTTAAGACCAAAACGGTGACGTATTCACCGCATTTATCTAAAACGGTGATATATTCACCGCGTTTGTTGAGAACGGTGAATACATCACCGTTTATGTTGACAACGGTGATTACCTTCACCGTTTTAGGTTAAAGCGGTGATATATTCCCACGTTTCCCACCCCTGGTAGGTCAAAATTAGGTCACACCTACCTATTATTCACCGTTTGAGACAAACGCGGTGATGTTGTTCACCGTTTTTGACAAACACGGTGAATAATAGGCAGATTTTCCTATAAATACCAACCCACCAGCAGAAGCAAAAACATAACCACTCCCCCCTTCTTCAAATTTCAGCAACAAAAATCGAGCATAATACACAGAACATACATTTTTCGGTATGTTGAGACTTTTCGTATTATTGTCTAATTATGTTTTTAGTAGTTATAGTATGATTAAATTTTCGTATTATGTTGTTGTTAGTTAATTGAATTTATGTTCGTTAGTTATAGTATGATTTAATTTTCGTATTATGTTGTTGTTAGTTAGTTGAATTTATTTTCGTTAGTTATGAGATGGACAATATTAGTTGTACAATATGATTTTGGTTAATTTTACTGTCTTTAAGCTAATATATACTTATCCTCGATTTGTAGATATGGGTAAATTCAAGAAGTTTCATCTTAATATTCGGTGGAATGGAAGGGTGACAAACTCTAACATAGGCATTGATTATGAGGACGGCGAATCCATTATGCTGAACATTGGTTCCCGATTCAATTTTCAAGAACTCTGTGATCTTTGTGCAGAAAGGGTTTGTACGAGCGGACAGACGAGACTTGGCAGAATTACTTACCGGTATCCAGACATGAGTGCTGGCGGGGTCGTGTACCAAGAAGTTGTCATAAACGATGATGACGCGGTTACGATGATGTTACAGTTCCTAAGCGATAACCAAGTCCGGCTTGCAGAGGTGTATGTTGAGACCGAGGCGGTCGGTGAATCTCATTCTCACCAGTATTCTTATGATGATGGTTTTGCAGGAGGGTACGAATGGGGTGGTAGTTCGAGCAACTACCAAGGCGGTGGTTATACAGGAGGTTACGGGGAGGGTGGTGGTTCAATCAACTACGGTGGATCGAGTAGTGCAGGATGGGACAAATACTCGCAACCTCCTAAACCAGCCCCATTTGTTGAGGCCGATGGTGTTCAATGGCCTGCTTGGGGGCCAGAGTGGTATGGAATCGAGAATACCATTCGATCAGGGCGTACTTCACATGAGCGAGAGGACGATGTTGGTGATCGTGGTCATGTTGATCCTTCTAGCCCGAGCTATCCATTCGAGTCGAGCGACGAGGATACTGAGGAAGATTTGAGATCAGTGAGCGAGGAGGAGGAAGATACTGATGATAACGAGGATGAGGCGGCATTTCGTGAGGCACCCACGCCATATTACACACAGGTTCCAACTCAATTTTTATATAGTCAGAATGATCCCTCCGATTATGTCCCTATGCCAGTGTACAATCCGACGGCCAATTTGGAGGTGGGTATGGCGTTCCCATCGAAAGACGCTGTGCAGGATGCGTTTACAGAAGAGGCGTTGAGGCGCAATTTCGAGTGGAAGGTAAAATATTCTGACAGTAAACAACTACATGTCATATGCAAGCATGATGCAGAGGGTTGTACGTGGCAACTGCGGGCTGCAAATATGAAGAGAAAGGGTGCTTGGGTGATTCGCAAAGCTGAGACGATCCACACATGCTCCTCTTCTATACTTTCCCAAGATCACAGGCAACTAAAAGCAAAAAGGTTGGGAGAACTATTAAGCACCTTATAGAAGCACAACCAGATATCAAGGTGAAAGCTATCATGGCAGAGGTGAAGGATCGACATTCTTACACGATAAGGTATAAAAAAGCATGGCGTGGTAAGCAGAAAGCCATGGCTGAGGTGTATGGTGATTGGGAGGATTCGTATGCTTTACTCCCTAGACTTATGGGAGCAATGGAGGAGTCCAATCCTGGGACTGTTTTCGTCCCAGTATACAACAATGTATACACTGAGGATCAAGTTCGAGTACAGGATAAGTTGATGTTCCATCGTCTTTTTTGGGCTTTTAAACCATGCATTGACGGATTTGGGTTCTGCATACCGGTTATTCAGGTATTTTACCAACTAGTTCCAGTTTTAAATGTTGTATTATTTGTTGTTTAGTATATTTCATACTAATTATAGTCTTAATTTTTATTCAGGTTGACGGAACTTTCCTTACTGGGAAGTACAAAGGATGTCTTCTAATTGCCACTGGCGTAGATGGAAACAGGCGGATTTTCCCGCTTGCATTTGCATTAGTGGAGGGGGAGAACAGCTTAAGTTGGGCTTGGTTCTTTGACCAACTGCACGAGCACGTGACACAGCGGGAAGATATTACGATTATATCCGATCGACATGCGGGGATAAGGAATGCTGTTGGTGGTTTTCCCGACGAGTGGGGGTGGAGATGGAGATGGTGTATTCGACACTGGCTCGCCAATTTCCAACACAAATTTGGGAAGAAGAAAGACATCAAGAATTTACTTTGGAATGCAGGTACTAATGTTTTACTTATGCGATTTAAGCTGATAATCAAAATTTTATTCATCATGTATTGACCAGTTAGTCTTTTGTTCACCTTTTAGCGGTTGCACATCAACCAAAAAAGTACGAGGAGAAGATGAAAACGATCCGTCATACCCACCGAGCTGGAGCAGTATGGGCTGAAGGTCAAGAGTTGCCCATGTGGACGTTCCATATGGACAACGGGGCCAGATGGGGCATTGCAACTACCAACCATGGAGAAAGTATAAATAATGTGTACAAGGGTCTTCGAGCGATGCCTATTTCTGTCATCGTGGAGATCGGACTTAGCCGCAACCACAGAGCAACCTTAGAACGAGACTAGAGCGGATAAATTGAGGGAGAAAGAAGTGAAATGTTGGTGGGGTGAGTTGAAAGTGAAAGGGGGAGGGGGTATTTATAGTTGGGGGAAGGGGGGGAGGAGCTGCTGCGCAGTAATTAGGGGAAGCGTTCACCGCGTTTGATGAACGCGGTGAAGGCTTCGCGTTCCCCTAAAACGGTTCCCCCGTCCACGTGGCCTGCTGTGAGGCGTCGGATCGTGGGAAGAAAACCACGATCCGCGCCTCACCGCATCTAACGGCCACGGTGAAAACACAATGGCGCGGATCGCTGACGTAAACAAACACGGGGTATTCACCGTGTTTGTCTACCGCGGTGAATGCCCCGCGTTTGTCCACGTCAGCGCCTTCACCGCGTTTAATTAAAACGGTGAAGATATCACCGTTTTAAACTAAAACGGTGATATCTTCACCGTTTCGTTTTAAAACGGTGATGCATTCACCGTTTTTAACTAAGACGGTGAAGCTATCACCGTTTTATTTAAAAACGGTGAATGCTTCACCGTTTTAAATAAACGCGGTGATTATCTTCACCGCTGTTGTCAAAAACGGTGATGCTCAAACATGTGTACTTTTGGAATTTTTTTTATAACTTATGTATTTTGGGAATTTTTTTTAAAAACGTGTGTACTTTGGGATTTTTTCCCATATCATTATCATATGTATCAAAGGGAAAATAATTGATGATATATTTATACTTTCAACAAGTTCATTATTGTTTTATAATGACTAAAACAAGATAAAATCATTGAATCTTAAGAGCATAAATATATAATTGTTTGATAAATTCAAGTCCCAAAGATAAGAGTACTCAAATGATGAAAGTGCTATCTAGAAATATGACATCTCAAAAAGAAGCCATCATGGTATCTTGTTAATCATTATTATGCCACTTACAAATGAATCTGTGCTCTAACTATAAACAAAAGAAGTTGATAGTACTAAGCAACCTGCAAAACTAGCTGCTATTGAACGGACAAATAAGCATCGGCTGCCAATTTTAACCCATTTAATTGTGAAATCCTCATACATGTTTAGTCGAGTAGTCGTAGACTCTCATATTCGAAAGCTAAGAATCTGTCATCAATTCAATTACCCTTCTTTGAATGGAAGAAAGGTCATAAACAATAATGACAATTTATCCAATTACAGATGGGAGATTCAGAATCGAGATTATCCTTCCCTAAGTACTCTACACCTACAGTAGTTAAATTGCCTGAACAATTCAAATGCCCGATTAGACTTTGGACCCAAACCCCCCTTCCAGATTACACTCCATTTGCCTTCCCTTCCTTCCCCCAACGAGGACAGCTCCGCCACTCGGTCAAACCGAGCCGAACCAAAACCAAACCAACCATAATCTGGAGCCCTGGGTTCGTCCATCGAACAGATAGAACCACCTCACTGAAGAGAAGTGAATAACACTTCCCTTAATGCCATAACTTGCTGCAGAAGCCATTCTTCGCCCTCTTGCTCGATACGATATCGGAGAACGAGTCGACCAGTTGTTCCGCCAGGCTGGTCGGGTCGTCGACCATGGTCCGTATGAAGGTATGGACAACCCTCCGCTCCTGTTCCGTGGACCGCAAGCTAAACCATGTCAGCAGCTTCAGGCGGAACTCCTGATCGATGTGCCCGCCACATTCCAGCCACCGGATTACCTTCACACACGACTCGAAGTTCTCGTCCAACGAACCGGAGCCTCTCGACTGGCGAAGTGGCGAGCCGTTGATGAGAGTGCTGTCGCAGTCATGGACGTCCTCGTTGGCCATTTGAGACGGGGCAGGCCTCTTTCTGTCTCCACGGGAATCAACCGCGGGGGCTGAGTCGCCACTGCCGTTGGACTTGGATCTATCTAAACTGTCCTTCTTTACGTTGTCGTGAGAAGCGGCCTCATCGTCCGCCTCCACCATGGCGTGCTCCTCCAGAGTGCAGTCGTTGTCCTCGTCTCTGGACGACTCGAATGGAGGCATGAGCTCTTCGTTCAAATCAGGAACGGACATGACGTTGAGATCGAGTTGACGTAGTGCAGCTGGCAGCTCGTGATCCCGAGTAGACTCTGGTTTTGCAGAATCGGCAGCATCACAGCAATAGCCATCGGAGCAGGCTCGCTCCTGAGCCCACGCCATGCGGATGATCTTCCCGAGTTCTCGAACCCTGAACCCCGAAAGGTCACTACTGCCTTCTGTAGTGGCTTTGGAGGTGCTTCCTCCTTCGTTGGTGGTGGTGGTGGTGTCGTCTTTGGTACCACCATTTGCTGCAGCTGAAGAAGAGCTGGGAAGCTTACGGAATATCTCTACGCTCTTGGTGAAACACTTGGCTTCTGAGTGACCCAAGTCGCCAGATTCAGTGTATGACACAATTCGAAAGGTGTATTCAGTGCAGGGCTGCAGATTTGATATCAGAATCCTCCTCTGAGTCTTGGGGAAGACGGAAATGGGTTCCTTTGGAGGAGTCTCTTCTCTGCTCTTGGTATACCATAGTTTGTAGCCCTTGATATCGTCGGATGCTGCAGCTGACATTTCAATGAGAATTATTATGACTGATGACGCTGTTACTTCTTCGAAGAAAAACCTGCAGGCAGCGGGCAGTGAGCCCTCTGCTGAGAATGACAGAAAAAAACACGAATTGATTATTTCTGTAAATATAAGAGGCTTTTTCGACATGGAACCACAAGGTCAACTAGAGGAATCAAAAACCTCTGCAGCTGGAATTGACATTAGAGGCTGAAGCCAGCCATTCGTCTGCTCGTTCACTTGCAATAGTGCATAGTTTATTCACATCAGCAGCAATGGGGAGTCTGCTGACAATGCCTCGTGCCATCTTCGCAGAATCACCATTTAATGGACCAACCTCGGTTTCTAATTTGGCTTTGGCTTCTTTTATAAGTTCATGCAACTCTTTGAATCTTGAAGTTCCATCAAGTAGTCTATAACATAGGTATATCCTATAGCACAGCAGATCAACACGTCGGGCATCTTTTGCAATAATGAGCTGTTTCTTCCAGGATCTGCCAGTATAAAATTGAAATATTTCAGGCAAAAGCTATTGGTGCACCACCTAATCCGCACAGTGCTGGAGAAAAAAAACACTGTTTTAGCTGGCTATTCTCATTTTTCTGTTGCAATGTAGCCTCTATATTAGGAACCACTGGAACAATTCGAGAATGAGCAAGAATGATAGGTGGAGAACAATAAAAGAAAAAACTTTAAACAAATTACTCACTCGAGAATCACTGATACTTTACCACAAGAAGCACAGCAATAACTGCCGTCTAGCTGCATCAGTTGCCCGTGATCAACAACTCCCACCTTTTCATGCTGAAAGGCGCACTCGATGTGACAAGAGAGCCCACAAGAATCCTCATTAGCTGTTTCAGATGAGCAGAACAACCACAGACTAGGGTCTTTATTCTCATCAAAGGAATGACAGATGCAGCAAGAACACCTCTTGCAGAATGAGTCATCAATGGATAAGACAGCTCTGCAGGCGGCATTTTTACATATCCATGAGTTTGAACTCGCGAAATCAGGAGACAGGTCTGGTGCAGGTACTATTCGAATGGGGTTTTCTCCCTTCCTTTTCTGTTTCTTTGAAAGTTGATTATTGGTGGCAGGAGACGTTTTCTTGGATTCCTGCTTCTTTATTGTTTTGCTACCCAACGACTTCAGTTCCGTCATTTTGCCTTTAAACGATGCTGACAGCTTCTTGTCCTTATCAAAACAAGTACGGAGAAGTTCCTTTTTGGGACCCGAAGAATTTGGAAACTCTTGAATTAGTTCTGGACTTCTTGAAGCATGATCGGAGTTACCATTTTTCTCTGGGGTGCTTTGGACACTCGAAGAAAGGCTTTGAACGCCAGAAACTGGAGAGACAAGGCACCAACATTAGAAACTGAGAGTCTACTTAAATTCGTTCTAAATAACTTTTCCCGTTAAATGCAGAAAGCTCATCTGAAATTATGAAGTTTCTAAGATTCTCCAAACCAAGCAATAAACTGTAGCCAATAATAAGAAAGTAAAACGACAAACCATGCAGATGAAGAAACCAAGACAAGAGTCAAAGATGAAGTGAATTGCTTTGGTTCTTCAGACTGGAAAATGATATTACGATGCAATTAGGACATCTAACATAAAAGCACAGAACTAACTGGCCATAGATCAGCTTCCACAGAATCAAAAAAAAAATTCCTAGAAAAGAAAAAAAAACTTCAAACATGATGGACCAGAGTACAGACACACATTAACAGAAATTTATAGAATGGACCCAAGTCCCCCAATTAACCGTCACATCGACATTGATGAACCGACACTGCGGATCAGCAACAATATAGCATGCACATCACTGGAATAACTGCACGACCCATTTCATTCAATGTAATTGCTCTACTTTGTAGCTACCAATACAAGCCAACCTTGAGTCCATGTGACAGGGGAAAAGGCCATACCTTTCCCATGAAACTTATCATCCAAGTCCATTCAAACAAGCCAGCTCAATAGCTTTTGCGGCCCTGCCTGTGAACAAAAGAAGCTACAATGTCAAATACATAATCCCCACCAGGATCTTCTGAAACACAGCATCCAACAAAGCTCTTTTGTCTTCTCAGGAAGGGGCAAAACACCAAAAGAAAAAGGAAGAGGGAGGGGGGAAAAGAACAGAAGAACTAATTAGAACGAGTTCATCATAGACTTAAGCTAAGGGGGAAGGACGAAATGTCCCCAATTCGCCGCCTTCAATCGAACAAAGGAATTTCGCTGTAGATTGAATGCTGAATGCGGAATGCGGATACTGGTAACGACAAAATGACCAATGAAACCGCACACATACTCCACCCAACAAAACTACCTAAGCCCATAGTAAAGCCAACAGTAGGGCAGCTGGAATCAAAACTTCGCGAGAAAGAGAAGGTAAA